AAAATTAACCGGACTGGCAAAGCAAAAAAAAAACCTTTTTCACGTATTTTAATACAAATTCCTCTTGTTGAGCCAATACAAGTACGCTTCGTTTATGCTTTCCTTACAAATGTTATAAGCCTCGGCTGGAAATGCCTTTAGTGACTTCAGCAAGTTTTGGTTTTTTAGTTTTCGACTAATTTTTGGAGCGGCATTTCCTAGATTGTTGGACAGTTTCGACGTCATATCCATAAACCCATGTCTCGTCAGCAGTGATGTCGTCATTAACAGAGGTAAATGGACGACTCACGTGAGGCAAGTTTTCGATGACTTCACGAACTTCAATGAATTTGTGCTACTCAAATACTTGTGTTGGTGATAAAGTAGGCTCTCCAAAACGCTTTGCAACATTTTAAACAATTCCGTAGCCGTGATTCCATTCGAAACACACGATTTCAAGCAAATTCGTTATTAATTATTCTTTTTTGCAAGGTAAATATCGCCAAGAAACCTTTCGCGTCATTAACAAGCAGCTGCCAAAAGCACACTAAATGACATATGGAGATACAATTTTAAACGAACATAAAATTTTTTTTTACCAACCTATGAAATATTTGTAAATCGATTCCGTTTCCACGCGAAGTTTAAATCAACTAATCCGCGTCAAATTTGATCAGATGAACATACGTTTTGCGCGAAAGATTTTGTGGCGCAGTGTCAATACAATATACATACATGTGTACATAAGTGGTGCCATAGCACATATTTATACGGATTTTTTCATTTCATCTGATATTTTTAGCTGATTGTTGCTGAATAATTTATTTAATTTTGCAGTGTCTCACCTTTAACCCTTAGAGATTCAATAGAAGCAGTATTGGCTTGGATTGGATCGCTCAATCAGCTGCTGTTTTAACTTGCGGAACAGATATTTGCATTTCTAGTAGATACAACATGTCTGTGTGTTTGTTGAAAATGTAACAAAATGTAACAATTCCAAGCTTAATAGACTAGAATTCGTAACTACGAACCACTGTGTTGAAATGTTGTTGAACTAAACCTATTTCCATGATATTCTAAACCAACTTTGTTAAACTAAATTTGTAAAAAGTCAAAAAAGAGGCCACAACAACTACTCACCCTGTATAATATTGCGGCACAATGAAATAGCAAGTTGCAACTTGTTGCTGTTTGTCAACGACCAACATTTATGACTTCGTCCCAATTTCCAATGTTGCAAGAACTCGCATTTGCATGAAATGAGACCGGAATACCTGGGATGTACACCGCGAGCGAATGTGCTAAATATTTTTATGCATTACAGTTTGAATACCAGTACATAGTATGAAACTTGTAACCGTAGCAGCGGAAAGACTTCGCTATAATCCAAATATGGATGAGTATACACTTATTTTGGTACAAACCTACATACACATAAATGTAGGTATTTACCAAAACCTGATCTAATTGACTGAAACCGCTTCAGTTCAATTTTTCTTTAACCATGTCGCTAAATAAGAAGTACTGGAGACTTATAAATGCGTAGAGGGTATAACAACACCCCTGAGATCATTACAACTGGAGTTACTGATTTGCAAAATCCAATCACATGCATACATACACACGTTTGTATGTAGTAAAAATCCGAAATTATTAAACGAGGTTAACCAGCCGGCCAGTAACAGTCTCGCCGCGGCAGGCATTGACCGCTGAAAGAATATCGGATTTGATCAGACCTCAGTGGAGTGAAGTGAAACACACAAAACAAAATTTAATGAGTAAAATAAGAACAACCACTAAAAACAAAAACTTAAAAAATCTGTTGCCACGGCTAAAGAGCTCAGCATGCAAACAACAAAAGAAAGAACAAGCAGTACCTCTCTTACTCAGCGACAACAATCGAGCAACCTACTCTCGGTCATTATCATTGCTGATAAAAAATTAAAAACTGGTTTCGTTCGTCAAATGGTGGAGGATTTTTAGGAATATTGCGAAATTTTTTGAAAACATTCAATGAGTGCGTTGCTTTCGGGGTTTGACGAATGTTATCAAGTAATTATGGTGATAAAACGATTTAGATTTGCTTGTAGGTGTAGAGCTGTACACATATGTACTTATGTATATATGAACATCTGATTAGCAAACGAAATGAGCTTAACTTATTGGCTGTTGACCTAATGGAATTGAAAATGTTTAATCGACCCTTCTTTTTATATGTAATATAAATTACAGATCTAGAGCAGACAACAACATTTCCTTAGCTCTTCTAACAGGCACAACATATTATGAATTAGCATTGTTCATCAATCATTCAAACAACCATTCCCACAACAGTCGGGTCTACGTAACCGGAACGGACCAGACTTTATTCCGGCCAAGGACTGTCAACTCGTAAAATTGATATAAGTAGAATTTAAAAACATACATTGAATACATACAAGTATAAACCTATAACTTCAATTATTTGCAATAATTACTATTAGTTAATAAAAATACGCACAGATTACATACATTTTCGAATAAACTGTATTTTTTCATATTTCGAGATGAATTCAGGTGTGTTCTTTAATTAATCTGTTGTTATGTTTGTGATTTCTTCGCAATTGTCTCAGAATAAATATTTACGCTTTCCATATACAATAAGGGAAACGGTTTTGAAATGCCACATATTAAAAAAAAAGGTGCAGTAATAAAAACACATATGAGCAATACGTATTCGTACATAAGTAAAGATGTATGTACAAGACCGCCAAAGGAAGTCAACATAACCCGGTCGGATAGGATGGTAGGGGAATAGAGTAACCAAACTTTTGTGAGTGTCAGTGTAATCTTTAGAAATTTAACATGTAGAAAAACTAATTAAATATCTTTCTTTTGCGTAACATATCACTCTATATATTATATAACAACTATTTTTTTTACATTAATCACGTTCTTACCTGATAATATGAATCAGCCATGTTATCAATAGACTTCAAATAATGTGTTAACGTTGCTCCGTGAATTATATATATTATAAATGGTTTTCTTTCTTTTCTTTTGAATGTTGAAATCTATTACAACTTGCAAAACTAAAGCAGTGAGAGCACTACAAGTATTTATATAAACTGATAAACAAAAGATTTAAAAAAATTAATAACGGCGTGCACTTTCAGATATCAAAAATGCCATATAAGTTAATTTTCCGGACACTGAAACTTAATAAATTCGTTGTTCAATTAGTTATTAATAGCAGTCATTATTCATAATTTCTTTAACGTTCAAGATTATGATATTTTTCGGTTTAAGACAAAATATGAAGCAATTGCGGAATTTCACAATCTTTACATTTCATAAACACAGTGACTAGTTTGTTCGTTTCATTCATAGGCCGGAGAGGAAGCTGGAATTAAAGAAAAAAAATTATAAATGATTACATTTCAATATGGAAGTATGTATGTATGTTTAAAAAATATAGTCCAAGATATTTTAAATTAATTTATCTTTGTCAGCATATAGTCTACGCCGAAGTATTTAGTAATTGCAAATGCGAGGTTCGGTAATTGATGCAAATTGCATTCTCTTGAAGTTTTAATCGAAATGCTGAAAAATGGTATATGATGGGCAATAAAAATTATAGCAATAAGAGATGATGAAGGTATGTTCAGTGCACAATGGGACAAGCGTTTAAATATGTTTACATCGTGCTGCCTCGATTTTAAGATATGTTTAGGGTGGTCTGTTTGACAGAAATTAAATCTTAGTAATAATAAAAAAAAAGAATTGAAAATGATTTTACCGTTACATGTACAATTACGTTATTATAATATATATTATATACTATGTATATTATATACTATATATAACTTTGGATATCTAATGCACCACTTTATTAGGATATTGAAAGAACAAACAGACAAAGAGAAAACGTAATTGTACATGTAACGGTAAAATCATTTTCAATTATTTTTTTTATTATTACTAAGATTTAATTTCTGTCAAACAGACCACCCTAAACATATCTTAAAATCGAGGCAGCACGATGTAAACATCTTACACATTTTATTTTTGTTTATTATCTACATATGTTTATTGCCAGGTATTGAAAGCACATACAATTTAGAATTACCTTTTGGACACTGAAATAACAAGACACCTGCGGTGTGTGGTTTTCACAAGGTACAACTTCGCACCAAAAAAAAAAGTTATTAAATTGAACGCATAAATGGTACATATACTTGTAGGTTATTGCAAGTTTCACACAATTTTAATGACCATACATTTATTCAGGCTTCGTGCAGTACTGACAGTAAATGTATCCCTATTTTGTAGGCGAAAATTACAGCCTATCAATTTCTAGACTAACAGAATAGTAATTTTTTTATTTTACTTGCACACCCCAGCCTCCTTTCGAAACCCGTAATAGCAAGTTCTTTTCACTTCGCAATTATTTCACCTCACATTTGTATCCGAAATTTATAACGATTGTATTTGATAAATGCAACTTGCTAAACCGAAACAAACTACGACCCACGAGCAACCGTGTTAAATTGTTTAAAATTAAACGCGAAAACTTTACTAAATCCAATCAAAAATAATAAATTTTAAATAGAAAATAAAATATTAAGCACAACAGCTTAACAACCGACAACCAAATTATTCTCGCCTTGTTTCGCCGCAAACGAAGGCATGCAGTGCTACCAACACACCAATTCTTTCGTTGTTACCACTTTATTTCAAATTGCAAAATAAGCAGAATGCAGTTATGTGATATATTAATGATTTGAATAGATAAATAATAATGCTTAACACCTAAAATATATGGATTTTCTTTAGCATCTTAATTGCATGAGAACATTGAGTTATATAGAATGAAATTTATAATGCTATCTGAACATGCATTTATTAATACTTAAATGAAATAATTGCCTTCTCCTTTTTATGCAGCGAATTGAAGAGGTACTTATTTTATAATAACCCTGAGTTGTGAAGTAGAAAAACATTTGTTTACCATAAATTAAATTTAAATAGTTGTTTCAAAATAAGTTTTTAAAAGGTTTTATTTACTCAATCTTGATTTTTATTATTTTATTTTAAACTGCGGGTTTCTTCGGCAGAGAACCAAAAGCCGATATTACAGTACCTTTGGTACCAGTAACAGTGGTGGTTAGTGTTGGCGGAATAGGTTTAACGGCTGCAGCTGGTTGATCCCACTTTGATTTTCTAAAAAAATTTAATCATGTCATTAATTCTATTGAGCTTAATTTCTGACTATATATTTACCGTCTCTTAGCTTCTTCTTCGACTTTTCGGGCTAAAGCCGTTGCTTGTTCAATTTTATCTGTGTCCTTGCGCTCCTTTTGTCGCTTGAGCATTCCATTTTTTTGAATACGGGCCAATTCCTCATAGTAACTTTCAGGACCCCATTGTAATGGATCATACATTTCAGGTGGATAATTGGTTCCAAACTCATTTATGTCGCAATATTGTATCAGTTTTTCATATATACTTGGATTACGAAATTCCTTGCGGCCCTGTATAACACGGTTCATGTCCATATTGGTTGTTTCCATCTTGTCATATAAATGCTTTATTTTATCAACTAATTCAGCTGAAGGCTTTCCTTTAGGCTCTGGAGGTAATGAAAATCCATAGTGTGCATATTTACTGAGCTTATCAACTTTTTTTGGAGATTTTGTTTCATTGGCCAATTCATTATTCTCGTCAACTTCCATTTGCACACTGTTTGTGGTTTCTCTTGATGTTTGTGCATTACTATGTGAACTAGTTTCATCGTGGTCACTTTCTTCTTCTGAGTGATTACTTGATTCCGATGATGTACTTTCGTCTTCATCATCATCCGATATTACTGTGTCATCCTGATAACTAACTAAACGCCGCACCGACTTCTTACGTTTTCTGCGTTTATTTTCTTTTTGATTAGGCGAATTTTCTATTTTTTCTTCCTTTGGACTTGGTTGTTTTGGAATAATAACCTATAGGATGGGAAAAAATTAACATGAAACCTACACAAACAAATTTTGCATAGACAGTTTCCTGTTTTACCTGAGATGCTTGCGAATTCGACGAATCTGGACTGTCCTCTTCCACTTCGCCCTCATTTTCAGAATCCGTGTACTGTGCAGTTAGGCTTTGTAAAGCTTTGCTCATTTTTAACTTCTAATGAAATAATGCTGCTCTGAATTCTATTTATGATAGATAGGATGAAAAAGTTTGTTTTCTTATGAAGCCGATCAAAAAATCAGCTGTCGAGCATTCATTCATCACCCTACTCTGAACAACCCCTTCTGGCTTCACTGAACAACACTCCGTATGACGTTTTTAGACGGAGCATGAAATGGGTTGAAATGAAAATAACTGCACTGTGAATAGCAAAGTAAATCGGTTTAAGTTTTTTTTTGAGTATCTTCTAATCATTACTTTGATAATATTAATTAAACTATAATACTCATTTATATACATATTTTCTGTCTGCAAAATATATTATGATTGAGATACTATTTTGTTTCATTCAATGTTTGAATGTGTGTACAAGTATGTACATAATTAAAAGTCAACATCACTAACAGCTGTTATAACGGGTACTGGAGGAAAACTTCATTGACGTTGCATTTCTTAACTACTACTACCATTATTAGTTTTATATTTTTTAAAGTAAAAGTATATCGTTAATAATGATTACCTCTACTGAAGATGCCCAAAATGAGGATAGAATACAAAAACGTGTAAATAAAATACTTGAAACAAGGTTGGAAACCGATAAAGTAAGTAAATATTATTTTCGCAAACAAAAATAAAAATTTTCGTCAACAGGATACCTTGGATGCTTTGAGTAATCTCTCAAATTTCTTCCTTGAAAACACTCTACAAAATAGGCGAAATCTTCGCAGTGAAATCGAGCGTCGCACTGTTGGTATAAATGAGAGTTTTCTCCAAGCTTTTCGGGAAGTAAAACATACCCTTGACACAGTATGCGAAGACTTAGACGCTATGGCAAAATCCGTGCAGACTATGAAATACAATTTGGAATCTTCTAAAGCGTTAACACATGACTTGATAAGCCAAACGAATTCGTTGCAAACTGAACGTGAACATCTACAAGTGGACCAACAAATAGCAGAAGCTTTTCTAGCGCGCTTCCAACTAACTGTGCCAGAACATCAAATTTTATATGGCACCACAAAAGACGCACAAATCGTTCCTGAATTTTTCACTGTCCTTAATCGCGTACAAAGCATTCATGCCGATTGCCGCGTACTAATGCAATGTGGCTATCAAACGGCTGCTTTAGAAATTATGGAAGAGATGACGTTACATCAAGAGGGCGCCTTTGAACGACTATATCGATGGACACAGAATCACTGTCGAAACTTGGAAAATAATGAGATCGGCTCTTTGGTCGTTGAGGCAATGAGCAGACTTCAAGATCGACCAGTTCTTTTCAAGTATATATAGCATAAGTTTTAAAAAAAGTTATAATACTAAAGTTATACATAATTTTTCATTTAGGTATGTTGTTGATGAATACGCTATTGTTCGGCGGGCCGTGCTGGTTCGACTCTTTATCGAAGCTTTGACCGAAGGTGGCGCCAATGGTAGTCTAAAGCCTATTGAATTACATGCCCATGATCCCAAACGTTATATAGGCGACATGTTTGCCTGGTTGCACCAAGCGATACCGAATGAGAAAGAAAACTTATCGATGCTCATAAAAAAGTGTGATAAAAATGGTTGTGACAAACGTGCCATTTTTTTATTGACTGTATAAAATGAAATAATTTTTTCCATTAACTGCAGATTTGTCGGAGCAAACACAGACCGCACTAGCCTACATAGCCGATGGAGTTTGTCACCCCTTGAAAGTGCGTGTAGAAACAATACTGACATCAGAAAAGGACACCATCGTTTTGTTTGCTATTTCCAACCTGCTACGATTTTACCAGCAAATTATTAAACAGGTTAATTCTATGACTCATATTGATTTTTGATATGACTACGTTTTATCGCTCATTTAGGTCGTTAAAGGTGGAACACTCGAGCAAACGCTAATTGATTTGCAAAAGTCTAGTGAAGAGATATATTTGAATTCTCTCTCCAATCAAGTGCGTAGCATTTTGCAAAGACCAGCAAGTGCCAACTTAGGCATTGAACCACCGCAGCGAGATTTGATACCACCAATGAGTGTGGGACGCCTACTAAATATGCTCAAAGAAATACTATCGGTGGCAACGATGGTTGACGGTCGGCAAACTGATATTACGAAGATCGTATCCTGCGTTATCGATCCTTTATTGCAGTCCGTGCAAGAGTCTGCCTCACACTTACCCACAATCGACATGGCAGTATACCTATTAAATTGTCTCTATCACATGCAAAGTTCGCTCGCAGTTTATGAATACATGGACGAGCGTGTAGAGCGTCTACAGGCACAATCAGATGCTCAAATTGACACACTAATTTCGGAACAAGCATCATCTCTGGTAGCCAATTTAAATTTGGGGCCCATTTACACCATACTACAGAATAACCACACCAAGATTGAGGCAAATCTTTTAAAAATATTCATGAATAAAATGGATGCCTTCTTGGAAATGCCAGAGATGCTGCTTCTGCCACAAGTGCAGTTGCTAATGTCCAGCGCGCATCGCAATGCAGTCCGAAAGCGAGCATTCAGTGTAATCGTTGCCATATACAAGCAAATCTACGACCGCGTTCATGATCCAGCCAATGGGTTTGAACACCCAGATGCTGTTTTTAGTAAAACTCCCGATCAGGTTGGTAAGATATTGGCTGTTTAGTGTATTCCTGCCGTACCGCATCATTATTAAGTATTTTTAACGCTTTAACAATATTAATATAAAATATCTACTACATATTTGTGAATGCAGAGTTTTACTGAATATAACGGCTTAATCTCTCTATTTTTACTTTGATTTTGCAATTATTCAAAGTAAATCACAGATTCATATACGTGCACCCATGCATAAGTAAAAACATACAAATGTAGATTAGTTATACTCATTCACGTACGTACATATGTATATAAAAACAAATACGTATGTAAATCGATTGTAAGTGGCACACGCCTTCATGTCGGTCGCCTAAGATTGAGTAAACTTAATTTTTTTTTTTTTTGTCGCTTTGTTATTATTTTGTTATTGTGCTTTTCCTTTGGGCTAGTGTGGACAACAATGGCGCAAATAAGAATCGAATGACGAAGCGAAGGCGAACGCAAAAGTGCTGCCGAAATAAAGAGGCTGTGTGTGGCTGTCCCTTAACTATTAGTATAATTGTTACTTTGTTAGCCGACGCCGGTCCATAACGCGCTCGATAAAATTCTTCGCATTCGCGACACGTTCTTATCATTGCAGAAAAGAAGATAAACATTAAACTAGAAGAATTTGTGTTGTTTTTCCGCTCCACCAAAAATATACTATGAGACTGATTGCGCAAACCTAATTGAATTTTAATGATCTTGTGTAAGTAAAAAATATGCAGTCTCTAAGCAGTGTTTTTTTAAGAATTCTTTATATTTGAAGTATGTACACACAGCTTCTTGTTTTTTCACGGCTGATGACGTGCGAATATCTATTTTTAAAGTTTTTTTTTTATATGTTAACTGAATTTTGGTTTTGCGCGATAAAACGAGGAAGTGTGATTTCGGATTGTTTATAGGCGCCCCAAGTGAAATTGAGAATGGAATGTGTGCCTGTCTAGGAAATTATTTAAACGCTAGTCAGTTCGCGCTGTTGCTACTTTTGTAGAAGTAGGCAGCCACTAATATTTGTGTGTTTAAGTTCGTTAATAGTTGATGCAAGAGCAGCAAAGTTAGATTACGTTACGGATATAATCCAACCTAAATGATTCTCTTTGACAACCAAATATAACGTTTGCACACGAGCATTTAGCTTGGCTAGAGCCAAACAAATTATTATTATTAAATACACATAAGATGCATTACATAGCAAAAATAAATTGCCGAAAAATAATTATGTATATATATGTACGTATGTATGTATGTAAGTTATATTGTTTCGACGCCTTGCAACTTGGGCTCCTTCATGTGATTTCATGTGATAGGCTGTAAAGTGTTGCGAGAGTTGGTATTATTGTTTTGATGACAGTTCAATCGCATGTGCTTTACGACATGGTCATCGTAGATCGTTGGAATAGTTCGAGCGTTAAAGCACTCAAAAATGCCGGTAACGATTTATTACCCACTAACTGGCTCTCTATAAATGGTTTTAGGGTTATTGAATAGGGAGTCTCGAGCATGTCTAAAGCATTATTCGATTCATTCAAACGGAAGTTGAGATAATCATCAGGGCTTTCTGCATACATACTGGATAGCCTAAATTGATAACAAAAAGAAAAATTAAATTACAAATGTGAGTTATAAAAAAAAGTCCGTTCTAGGCAAATAAATTAAGTTCAGAATCATTCATATAGTTTCAGCCACTCACTTGTAGTTTGTGTTTAGTCCTAATCTGTCAACTCGATAGCCAAAGAGTAAATAACAGACTTCCCGAAATTCCATACTTGCGGATTTATAGACCTCCTTCATCTTCTTCATTTTAGAATTGGTAGCTTCAAGTTCGGCGCGCAATTGATTCATTTCTTTGATATTGATGGTCATATTTGTTGTCTCATTCATACGCGCCTGTGTGACTTCGTTGTCTTCCTCCAATTTCTTATTGCGTCGCTTTAAGCGTTCGATCTGAATTTCATTTGTAAGTATTAAAATAAGAGTAGATAATAATCAAAGGCTATATTTATTTACCTCCGCCTGTAATTTTTCAATTAAATTATTGGAGTTTTCGTATGCCTCGGCCGCGGGGTTTTGCGCCAAATGCACCACTTTGAATTTGCCCACATTGAAGTCACCTTTCAAGCAACGATGTTCCAGTTCTAGTTCCAATTCCTCTTTACGACGTCTCAAACGCTCATTTTCTAATCTCATCGTATCCAATTCTTTCTTTGTGTGTTCATAGGTTTCAGTGCTGATAACATTTTCAATAGACTGATCGGCAACAGGTAGTTGTTTGGCGTTGGTCAACTCTTTTTCCAAATTGGAGCACATGTCTTTGTAGCCTACCAAAGTCTTCTCTAACATATCCAATCTTGAACGCAGTTGTACATCGCCATTACCACTATCTACAGCATGATTGGCGTTGGAGACTGGAAAAGTCGGACATATTTAATTTTGTATTTTGTATATTTATTGTGATTCTTACATGTGAGATCCTTTTCGAAGTTTTCCAGCAGTTGTTTGTAACAATCACGTTCTTTAGATACCAAAAACAATTTGCGCTGTATGCGTTCCTTGAAATTTTTATGCCTTTTCAGCGCCACGTTGAGTTCTTCTATGTTCTTAACATAAATTTCACATTTCTAAAAGTATAAAATTCGTTGAGTTTAGTAGTTTCTCTTTGGAAAAGGAAATTTAAAAATCACGCCTTATACGAGTATACCTGCTTATAATCAAGTAAATCAGATCGGATGGACTTAGTTTCAGATTGTGTGCTTCGTTTTTCGCTTATCATGATTATGTCGTTTTGTAGTAACTGCTCAATTCGTGATCGCAGAGCCATCGGGCTAACCAACATGTTAGGCAGACAATGGTCCTGTGCAACTTTAACCCAGTCTTTGAGCTCTTGTTCCATATGTGAGAGTTTTACTTGGAGAGCCACGGCCTCATTGCGGCCACCCTCCTCACGTGCTAAACGAGTCTTCAAATCATGCACTTGCTCCTCTAATAACAGTTTGTTACCAAGCAATTCCTGTAGATTTTTGTTATTTGTGCGTAAACGTTCCAGTTCTTTATCCATGTCTGGTATGCTCAGTAAACGGATTTGTGATTTCTAACGTAAAAAATTTATAATAAAAAATCTATAATTGAAAATCAACATTTTGTTATTACCTTTGTTATTTCTTTCCAATCTTCATAAGACGCTATTTGGTACTCCAATTCTTTAATGCGTGAGTTGGCTACTTCCAGTTCTTGCTGTTCTTTTTCATGTTCTGTTTTGAGAGTTTCGTAAGACGATGAATGTTGTTTGTACTCTTTGAGGACGCTTTTTAAATTAGTCATTTCATCGGTTAATAATTGCAACTCCTAAAAATGAAATTTTTTGATGATTTTGTGGGTATATTAAACTATATATTCATATTTACCATTTCTAGTTTATCTGTATGTCGGCGATATTCGCTTAATTCATTCTCCATGCTATTTTGTATTTGCCGTGAGTGATCTTCAGTTTCTAATTTATCTCTTTGAAGTTTATGCAATTCCTCTTCATATCGATGTTTTAGTTGTGTTAGTTCCCGCTGAGTCCGCAAAAGCTCTTGCTTGGCGCCATGTTCACGTTTGCGCACAACTTGCAAGTGCTTCTCGACATCCTGAACTTTATTAGCGGAGAAGTCACACTGTTTCTTCAACTCCATTACTTTACTCTCATAAAGCGTTTCTACTTCGGCCCTTAGTTTATGTTGTCGCTCTATTTCTGTCTTTAACTTAGAAATCTATTGAAAATTAGAATGAAATAATTCAAATTATACAGAACTTATATGTGGTGCTCAGCAATCTTACTCGCGACTTGGCTTCAATTAAATCAGCTTTAATTCTACGTGTTTCCCAAGGACTCGGTGGAATGCTGCTTACAGATGCATTGCTATCGTCACAACTGATATTAGAGTTATCGTGGCGTCGTTTCTTGGGTACTGTAATGAGCTCTTTTAATATAGTAAATATATCCTAATAATTTATATTATATATTTTTACTCACAAGTACCAGAATCATTCAAGGACTCGGTTAGATATTCGAAACTAAGTTTTTTTGGCGCTGAATGTGTTATACTGTCATTAAATTTCTCCATTATTTTATCAAAATTTGACTTAATGTTCTCCATTTTAGCAACTGCGGCTTATTTTACGCGTTCCGCAGAAGTTCTTTTTTTTATATACACTATTAGGATTAGCTGTATTTATGTTTTGTATAAATTTAAAAAGTATATGAACGTATTTTAGTATTTTTTTAATTCTTGGCAAATATCGCAATAAATTGATCAAAACACCAAATATTGTAGTATTCACAAATTTTAGACAAGCCGCTTTAGTTTTGTTAAATGTCTATTCGCTTGAGTAGTAAAAAATCTGACGTTTCGTTTATATTGACATTCGTGTTTTGCTTTTTGACATTTGTCATTTACCCTATGCTTAGGAATATATCATAGAGAACGTAGATTCTATATTTCCCGCATAAGGATTTTTTGTAGCCTAAACCTTAAACGTTATTGTAAAATAATTTCAAGACTTTACATTTTGACTATATTGACTCATAGTTAAATTATAACAATTAAACTTCATTATTAGTTATAGCAAAAGTAATTTTTAATCAAATTGTTTCGCTAACTTCACGAAAACGTAAATATGGCAACCTTATTGCCATAATTAACAAATGTTTTTGTTCCTGTTTGCCTTATCAATAATAAAGTTTTGGTCAAGTGCTTGTGATAATTTTAAAATAGTGTTTATGTTATAAAATGGCAGCTGATCCGGAAAATGTTGCAATTGAATTGGCAAACTTGAGTGAGGAGATTCGCAGTCTCCGTCTAAAATTGGCGGACAAAACACGCCAACTTCAAGATTTGCAGGTAGCTCAACATGCAAATGCAGCAGATAATGTGGCCAGCGAAGGAGCATCTAATAGTATTTTCACACCTCGAATTAACGATTTAACAAATGATGAAATAGAGCGTTACAGCCGTCAACTGATACTCCCTGATTTTGGCGTTATTGCACAAACAAAGCTGAGAGACTCTTCATTTCTTATTGTAGGAATGGGCGGACTAGGTTGCCCAGCAGCGCAATACCTTATTGCTGCGGGAAGTGGTCGCTTGGGCTTAATTGACTATGATACAGTTGATCGGAGCAATTTACATAGACAAACATTGCATACTGAGAGAACTATTGGTTTGCCGAAAGTAGAATCAGCGAAACGTGCTTTAGAGCAAATTAATCCCAACTGCCAAATCGATTTGCACAAACTTATGTTGGACAGCAGTTTCGCGCTAGATATTATTAAGCAGTATGATGTGATTTTGGATTGTACAGATAATGTTGTAACACGCTACTTGCTAAACGATGCATGCGTACTTTTAAATAAGCCTTTGGTGTCGGGCAGTGCTTTGCAATTCGATGGCCAGCTAACTGTTTACCATTATGGCGATACATGCCCATGTTACAGATGTATCTTTCCTGTGCCACCTCCTCCACATGCCGTAACAAACTGCGGAGACGGTGGTGTAATGGGTGCTATCACTGGAGTAATTGGTTCTATGCAGGCCTTGGAAGCAATTAAAGTTGCCACTGGTGTGGGTGAAACACTTGCAGGAAAACTACTAATCTTCGATGGTATAAATGGTATATTTAGAAATATAAAGCTACGTCGCAGGAGTAGTGATTGCAAAGTATGCTCAGAGAATCCAATGATTACTCAACTAATCGACTATGAACATTTCTGCAGCATGCACGCTTCTGACGATAATCAACCACTTCAGCTGATTCCATCAGAGGAACGTATAGATGTGTGTCAGTATATCGATATGCGATCGCAACCTCATCTTCTAATTGATGTGAGACCACAAAACGAGTTCGAGATCTGTCGTCTGCCGTCCTCTGTTAATGTGCCTCTGAAGGAAATTTTAGACAATAAATTTATAGAACGATTTCCTAATGAATTAGCTGATGAAAAACTGCCGATAATTGTGCTTTGCCGAAGAGGCAACGACTCCCAAATAGCCGTTCAACACATGTGCAACAAGTTTCCATCTCATACGATACGTGATATTGTTGGTGGCCTTTATGCTTGGCATTACAGAATAGATAAAGAGTTTCCAATATATTAATACTATTATTAAGCATATCGTATGTGTATATAAATTGTGCATACTATTCTTATTATTGTTACGCCCTTGAATGTAATATCGTCGCGCCAATGTTTGAGGTATTATAAAAAATAATTTTTATTTTGAAAAAATAAAGACATGTATTGTAAATACTATTTTCCATAAAAAATCTTAGTAAAAGTTTACTTTTTTTGGCTTCTTGTTGCTGCTGCTGGTTTTTGCCTAAATGTTATGAGTCGCAATACATTTAGTGATGTCCAATTGAGGAGCAAAGGCGAAAATAAATGCTCTCTATAAATAATGGAAAATATATAAAATATATACATAACATAGGTATAATACGGCAGTAGATGTAAGCGTAAACTTCTCCTACTATCGTTTTTTTATCGCAGCAAAAGTGGAGAAAACATCGCTACATAGTTGCATAATATCAATTTTAGGAAATCCCCATTAAGTCATTCTGCAGTGTTAGCTTATTACAATTGGTTGACTATTCTCAACTTTGCTTTTTGAAAAATTCCATTTACTATGAGTAGTTGTTGATGGAAGTTACTCAAATACTTTGCGTGTTTATAACTTCTGAACATAAGCACTTGCTTTGGGGTGGCAGCAAATTATTACATTACAAACACGGTGGAGTTCGAAACGACGAAATTATGAGTGCGAATACGCTTAAGTTGAGTGGTTTATGTTGCTTTTGTGAGGACATGCGAGAGTGTGCGAAAGTAGTGTGGTGGCGATTATGACTTGTTGACTTGCAGAGACTAATCGTAATTTCCCAGTAACCCTTCTACGGCATTTTTATTGCTTAACTTAAAATGAATCGCATTGGATCATCGTTTGCCAAAAAAATTAAAACAAGAATAAAAAATGTGCCAAGAATTCGAGTTTGTTTACATTTTCGTACGTTTCTTCATTTGCGTTACTCATCTATATGAATGTATTTAAAAACACATACATATGTACTTATGTATGTATGTAATTCATTCATATGTATGAACATACACATATTTGTGAACGTACTTGCGTTACTGGCTATAGCCGTTCAATCAACCACGGCTCAACTTTCATTATCCATTTGGCAAGACAAGTGAATTATTCTCCTATTGCAGTCAACTGGTGGAAGTTTCATTTAAGCAATTAACAGTTTCAGTGAAAAGTTCATTTGCCTTCTGTGCGGAGATTTAATACTTCAAACAAAATCCGTTAGCACTGTGCTGATAAGTGGCTATAATAAATTAAAGAATACAACAGAGTTTAAACTGAGCATTTATTTATATTTCAATTTTAAAATTGTAAGTGAATTTTTCCTAAGAAAAGTTTATTTTTAGAAAACAATAATTAAAATATTAAATCTGCTGATTTGAATATTTTAAAGAAATTTTAACTGCATGGTCACCCTCTTCCAATATAATGAAATTTTTATTGAAATTCGTTTAGACATTCCGCTAGGTTCGGTATACAGATTATAATTATTTCTGTCGTTCTGATTGACTTTATACCAAAGATGTTGGTTAGTAATAGATATACTCCTATAAACTGATGTGAGAATATTTCGCTTAGAGTAACGTTATTCGGAATCAAAATGAGGATATTCACCCAGGACTTTAATTATGCATATACTATTTTCTGTGAAATCAATTGAAATTTGAAATATAAAACAGGACATTTTAATGAAAGTTTAGCTCAATTTCACATACTTGTGAGAGTATCAAGAGTATTACTTCCCTCTTTATTTCTCATTTTAATTTTATTTCTTTTTTGGGGCTGAAAATCTCTCATTATTTCAAAAATAAATTTATTTTTTTAATAATAATTTATAAATTATATAAGAAACACTATTAAGGATTTAATGTATGTTACTTAAATCCGGCGTTTTATCCGAGTGCAATTAATTTGTAGTTCCCAATTTCAACTTAAGTAACTGTTAAAATTATGGGAAAATATTTTTTTGTGATCGCTCTTCAACCATCCAACTTCGATTTGCTTTTGACACTATCTTTTCGGGGCCAAACAGTTGTGAATATACATACATATGTGACATACTCGTATATCGAAAGAAAGCCTTGTCATTTGCTGTTTTGGTTGTCATATCGTATGAGTAACCTAAGCGGTTCTACCATATTTCGTTATTCATACGCCTAGTTGAACCATTGATCAGAGTATATTAACTGAATCGAGCTCAGGTTTTCAGATATCGATCTGAAATTTTGCACACGTCCTTTTCACCACAAGTAGCTGCTCATTTGTCGGAACCGTCGATATCGGACCACTATAGCATATAGCTGCCATACAAACTAAACGATTAAACTCATATCATGGTATGGAAAACTTTTTTATTTGATTAGAATTCTTCTTGAAATTTGGCACGGATTATTGTTTAAGGCAATAATCGAATCTCCGTAGAAATTGTTCAGATCGTACTACTATAGCATATACATAAGTATGTATGTAGCTGCTACATAAACTGATCGATTGAAATCAAATTCTTTATAAAATCTTTTGTATATTTGTATTATAGCTTCGGTTCTTTTCTTGTTTTTAATCAAGAAAGGTAAATTTGACGAAATTCCAAAATAGCTGATAAATTTGATTTCCATCTGTTACATAACTGTATTAACTATAAATAGTGTTTTTGGTAATGATATTGCGAACACGATAGAAGAAATCTCTAGCCACAAATTCCTCGTCTTTCACGGAATGCACGAGGAACACAAGCATAGAGTTCAAAACTCAACATATAAATGCGTGTTTACCTTGGATTTTCTCATTTAATATTGGTAAATATATTTACGAGGGAAATGTCTGCAAACTTTCTCTGCATACATACTACATATGAGTATGTATGTAGAGCTGCTCATACCAGTACACTTCCATCCTCCAAACCATGTATTATGCAAGTAGTACGATGTGCGCCTTAAAAGAGTTTCAAGTAATAAAAAAATGAAATAACGTAAAATAAAATAAAATGGTGGAATAGTGGGCAAGCAGAACAAACGTAAAAGCGGATGTGTTTGCTCATAGCCCAGAAAAAGTAGCAACAATGGCACCAAGCGCCTGGGGCCTACCATGTATGTGCAGTGTGTGGCAAGTGTACATTATGACCAGCTGCTTACTGAAGACGAGGTTGTTGCTATTGTCACTGTTGTGACAGTGTCTGCTATTGCTACTGCTATCTCCATACAAGAATACCTACAAGCACACACACTCTCGCATGGGGGCTCGCACATACAGCAATGTGTTAAAAATGTTGCAAGTGTTGTTGTTTTGACGTAGACACTGTCACTGCTGCAAATATATACTAAATACTTATTGTCAGTACTTGGCAATAAACTTGCAACTTGTAGCTGCCTCTGGGCCATCGCATTGCTAATCGGACCGACAACGGTGCGTGGCATGAATTTGGTTAGTTGCCGAGCATCAGCGTATTCACAGCCTGCGATTTGGTAACGACACATTTGTGCACATGAAGGCGCTAGGAAGTGCAGTGAGTTTCGGACATTCATTTTCGCTGCGATTCGCCTCAGTTGCCGTGCGTTACCAGCACCAGCCTCGGCAGTTATGTAGTGTCTGTAATAGATCATTGGTATAGCCTGAGCAGCTGTAACGACATTTAGTGTCACCTGGCTGGCATACAACAACAAATATATGTAAATACATATATATATGCTCGGGCTAGCATACGAAATAGTTAAAACAAAAATTACACAAGGGCTCAACAATAACCGAACCACCGAACCTTTCGCTTTCATTTCATGAGAGCGAGGTGAATAAAATGTTTACAGCGGATGTAACTTCTTTACTCGCATTGTTCTCTTTTACTCTCTTTGTCTCCCAGGTTCGCTTGCGAGTTCATTATAATTGATTTTTTATTTACAAACATACATGCACATAAATGTAACTTAACCCCCAAAGTCGCGTTGAGGCTCAACCGAGTTATTACTTAAGGGGGCAAATAGGGTTAACTCGTGTAAAAAAAGACAAATTTTTGTGATTGTTTTTTTGATGGAACAGTTGAAATCTATTTATTAAAACTACCATTATAGTTCACATTTGAAGAAATATTTGTATGGGGAAATATTAAAAAATACAGCAATGGCAGTAATTATTCGAAAGTGTCTCCGAAAAAAAGGTTTGCGGCATTCCTCATAACTCGGCGGTGAATCATACGAAATCGAAAAGTCAAGATACATTCGTTAGATAATAGTTTTCCCAGGTACAATTTGAATTGAGACCCGTTATTTTAGCCCAGGTGAAAAATTTCCTCTCAAAGAACGTAAAATGAACAGAAATACGGAAATATTCAAAACTAAGTTATAAGAACTTGACAAATGAGCACATTCTTGGGGAGAAAAGCACGTGTGCAATATTTCAGATCTGCAACGCAAAATGTAAAAGACTAGTATGCGTAAAATATTGTAATAGAATTATTCCGTGTTGAAAACAGGAGATCAAAATAATAAAACTCGATTTTTTTATGGTCCAAAAGTTCATGAAATCAAATTAGTTCTAAACCAGAAAGTTTTCCTGCCAACTCATGTTGCCTGTGCATAAACATTTACAAGCAGACGCTTGTCTTGTAAGAGAGCACATGAAGAGAATACCAATAGTTAAGAGCCATCAGCTGTGTAGAAAGTCACCACAGTCATGTTAAATGAGGGCGATGAAAGCAACTGATAGCAGCAGCTTGCAGGACAAATGAGCAATGATTGTTCTATCCAGGCAACTGTAAATGGTAAAAACTACAACGATAACGTAAAATCAGTTGCAGTGCGTAGGCGGTTGTCGTAGACGTCGTAGCCAAACACGTGCACGGCTAGTTCGTGTCCTAAAGCAGCATCTATAGCTGTAGCTTTTTGCTTTTGGTCAAAAGCCTTTTATTGAATCTTTTTGCTATTGGTGAAAAACTACACACTGGTATTACTACGAATACTATAAATACTGCCGTTACTATTATAACGTAACAAATAACAGTTGTAGTTAGCGTGAAGCAAAAACGAAATGGAAACACAACTGCAAGATAATGTCGAGTCGCTGATGAGCTTCGCTAATTCTAATTGAAGTTAATAACTTCTGAATTTCTCTACTATATGAGGGCTTTACGAAGGGTGTGGAACACACTGAAGTGCGTGTGCGTGTGTGTGTTAAATCATGGCAGTAAATTTGGAAAGTTTTGAACTTGTACCAGGGCTCACGGAATTGGCGGCAATGATTGTGGAATGTCAAGTGGAACGAAATAAAAAAAAACTGTTTTAAAATTATTAGTTTCTAATGGAAAATTTCAAAAACGGTTTGCATTTAGTTACCGTTCCAAAACACCACGCGTTGGAAACTAATTAATATGCGAGACTGAATATTGAATAGTGTAACGAAAGTGAATATTTTTTGGTATTTGCAAGTAAATTGCATGGAAATTTCGACAAGCAGTTTGGAGCATATAAAAATAAAATGTCAATTTACGTTAAGAACAGAAATTTGAATAAAACAAGTAAAAAGTAGCTGAGTTGTAACGCTGACAATAATTTATGATAATAATTAAAATATATATAGGTTATTTATAAATATACCGACATATAAACACATTAATATGCACACATATATGCTTGCATATAATTGAGAAGTTATTTTGGAGATATCAGTATGTATTAATTCAAAGAAATTCCCAAAAATTTAGATTGCAAATTAAATAAACGTTGCCTAAGTTAAAAGTATATGTTCCATACATTTTCGATAAAGGGCGCAGGAAAGCGTCTGCGTGCGTATGATTTAATGAAAAGTAACCAAAACTTTTCGAGCTAAAAGTACCACTTTGTGTATAGAAAAGCAAACAGGCAGCCAAAATCAACGAAACTTGTAAAAAGAAACATAATATATTTGTAAAGCACAAAAACAGAAACACACAGTGAAGCATAAATCATAAAAAGGGAACAATTCAAATAAATGTAAAAAGTAATTACCGATTTTCAAGTATAAAGCATGGCAAGTACTGCATGGCTCCCACAGGTATATAAGTAAGTAATTTATGTTCCTAAGACTCAGTTTGATATTAAAAAAAACAACGTAAAATTGATGAAGAAATAACTTTGAACCGAAATGAACTTTGGCAGCATTTGCAGGAGTGCAAGTATTTGTCTTCATATTTGTGTGTTTAAGTAATAAAAATTGGTATCCTCCCACAAACGAAAACGCCCGGCAGGATAAAACGTTCCGACGCGCATACAATAACACAAACAAAAGCGCATGCAAATACAAGTTGAGATAGCCTGCTGAAACTCCATACCAGCAATCAGCGCCAACGCCACACACAGCCAAAGTGACAAAAACTGACTGAAGTATCCGAGCACGGGCCTTAATACCCAGTGCACGCGCTGTGCCGGCATAAATACTTAAAGCCTCACCGACACGCACACGCAGCGACATTGTGGCAGCATCAGCGCTAAAATTGTACAAACCAATACTCTAACAGTGTGAACTTGTCGCGCTTTGCGATAGTGTGCGCACCAAGCCACACACACACCGTAGTGTGTCAACAGCAACTGACAACAGACAATCGACAACCGCCAACAACGAGCCTCAGTAGCTGCAGTAACCGACAGAACAGCCGCAGCAGCAGCTCCAGCAGTTCCAGCGCCGCAAATAGCATTAGAAGCCGAAGATAAGAACGAAGAAAAGGCGAACGACGGCCACAGCAGAGCCGCGGAACACCGGAACAGCGAGTGCGCCGAGGGGCAGCAGCAGGAGTCGCACTGACGGTGCCGAAATAAAACACGAACACATGTACGTATGTATGTATATATCAGTGTATTTGTGTATGCATATTTGTGTGTGTATGTGTGTGTCAAATAGATGCTTTTGCTGTTCTAAACAATCTAAGTGTGATATACAACTTGGTGTGTGTGTTGGTGTGCGTATATGTAGGTGCCTACTACATCACCTTGCGAGTTGGCCAGAGGCCTAACTGCTCACACTATACCATTTGTACCAACACCTACTTCAAAACTCCACGAGCTGTACGTACGCACATGTATTCGGCGCGTTTGGTTGTGTGAGACGTTGTTCGCGCGCCTACTTTTGTTGACGCAGCGTAGATTTGCTACTTTTACGCACTTTTCTTTCGTTTACAGCGACTTTCCGTTGCTTTTTGTGCCTGTCTACACACATACATACACACTGTATGCTAGAACCTACATATACATGGGCGAACAATAACAACAACATGCGGCCAAAAGCAGACGCACGAAAAGCAGCAATGACAACAGGAAAAATAATGGCGAGGAAATAGCAACAACCTCAAAAATGGTGGCAAGCATTTGAATGCGCGGACAGGCAACACAAACGCACACTTACACAAGTGGTGGAGTTTTTCGGTTGATGAAGTGGGGCAGAATGCTGTCACCGAGAGAATACAGTTATTAGTTAAACAGCTTGAGAAAATATAGAAAATCAAATCAACGTTAGAAACACCACAAAAACACCAAAAATGTAAAATTAAAATATCTTGGAATCGATGTCTCTTTTGAAGAGCGTTAGAAGTCGTTTGCCGCTTCTCTTGTTTTGTCGGCTTACATTTTCCCTTTAGCATTTCTTTTAGTTGTTTTGCGATTACTAAATATTTGCATATCGTTCGCAGCGTGTGTCTATATTTGGTGCATATGTGAAAGCGTAAATCATACATAAGTATTTTGGTAGACACTTGTAGTAAGCGATTTGCCGACTTCGTGGAATTAGCAAATGAAAGAAACCAGTGATCCATCTACAGTGATACTTGCCTGAGGTACACCAGTGCCGAGTGTAGGGAAAGAGAAGACGCAGAATTATCCGAAATTTTAACAATATCTTTTACATTATTAAGACAAACAAAATTCAAATTTAAAAAGAACGCAAACTTACTTTATAAATTTCAAGTAAGAAAGAGGTAACTTCAACATTTTATACTCTCTTAATTTGCAAAGATTCAAGCCAGAGGCATAACTTCAGGTTTTGGAAGTACTAAATTTTCAGCTAAATTTTTATATTATAAGAAGAAAACATCAACAAAATAATCGGAAGTCATTATATTAGATATGAGGTCACACAGAGACGTTTTAAAGTCAGCAGTTGGAAAGTCAAAATTGATGGAAACCACTCTATCGTGAATATTATGGCTTGGGGACACAGACACTGACCAATATATTCGGCAGAAAGTCTGCTAGAATAACGAAAATCATTATATATGTAGCATATGGGGTTTGATGTAATTTGTAAACCGTTACTACACATTTTCTGCATTAAACTATAGTGTAACCAATATTATACGTTCACTTAATTGTGCTAAGATATCTTACATATTGGCCGATATACGCTATAAACTTAACATGATGTTTGATATTTCTTATTTAGGATATTTCCATATTAGGTATATGGGGGCTAAAGGTAGTGTCGGTTCGCATTTATACATTTTTGACACAAGGGCACTTTATTATCGTGAAAAGGTTGTCTTTGAGTTTCAATAATATGTTGCACAGGTGAATATTGGTCAAGTAGTTCCTGAGATATAAAATTTCAAATAAAAGTGGGTGGTGCCACGCCCGTTGTGCAATTTTTACAGCGCGTCTAGTGAAGCCGCAGTGAAGCACTTTGACTCGTTTTCAACATAACAGCTGTATGGGCAGTGGGCGTAGTTATCATCCGATTTCATCCATTTGACACAGTACAAGCAGAAGCAAGACATGTTCTTAGCAAGTTTGGCATATGTACTTTAAACTTAAATAAATTTCGCCTTTAAAAGTTGTATCGGTATTCAGTATTGGTTATTGTGCGTTATTATAACGATCATTATTATTTTTTCTTATGGCAACACACACTTCTTTCTAACAATAGGTGAGCAGTTTCACACTCCCTCACATCCTCGGGTCTCTGTATCGAGTATAAGAAACAAGCGCGACGCTATAGAACCGAACGGTTTATTGATTACTGTTCGAATATTGTCCACCTACATATAGACTCTATACTCGTGAGTTGTAATTACTATGCAATGTAGGAGGCTTTAGAGGTGTTGAATCAAGACTTAATTGATGTCCTCAAATTACGCATCATTTCACTAATGCCACCAGCATTTCTTACCATTAATTCGGTTGTTGTTTGTGAAGCTTCATTATAAGTTTACATGCTTATATGTATATATGTATGAACATTAGGGTGTCCGTTACTTCCGAAGGTAATTTTTATTTTGTAAACACACCCTGAAGTTTTAGTTTTTGACCTACGAAAAGCATCCAATGAAAACAATTTCCTGTAATTTCCCAATTTAAACCGTGCCTAAATCATACTTCTTTTCCGATATATATAACATTGAATTTTTTGTTTTTTTGCGTTAAGTAAGTAAATCTACAACTTTGAAAAAGTGATATTCTTTTTATATGATATTCCGTCCAAAAGAGTTTTTAGCGATTTTTTTCCATAAAAACATTGCTTTAAAAGTTATTCACAATCAAGATCATACATCAGATGATCGGAGCATTCGTACAAGTGATTTATGGTATAAATTTTGTGTTGCTTATACGACATGGTGTACTGTGCGAATACAGTACATTTGATGCGTAGCTTTAAATGCGTACAACTTAAAAAAAAAATGTTTTTATGGAAAAAATCGTGAATTTTGTAGTAGAATATCGTTTTCTTAAAGTTGTGGATTTATTTGATTTGGAGATAAAAATTTATTGCAAAACATCACAAAATTCCATATAAAATATATGGGAGAAGTAAAATGATTTAGGCACGGTTTAAATGTTATATAAAGAGCTTGTATGCGTTGGATCCTTTTAGGTCCCAAGGGCAAAAATTTTAACTCTAATGGGCGTTTGCAAAAAATCAAATTAACTTGGAAAATAACGGACAACTTAATAATACATCTACATACATAAATATTTATAACACATTGGCAGGTGCGGATGCACACACACTATGATATATATAATTGTCATATAATTCAAGAACTGAAGAACCTTTCTCATAGACAAATGATTTTATATTTGATTGTTCTTGTTTTTGAAAGAAAAACTGAAACTGCAAACAGGACTAAGAAAAGTTTGGACGTGACAACTAAAAGCGCTGCAATTTTCAGTACCAACATTGTAGAAAATAATAAAACTTTTTATTTAAGTTATTTCTTTTTAAATCAAGGATCGTAGTTTTATGGTGTCCTAATCTTCGCTTAGAAACATGGCAGTCGCATACTAATCTAAAACAGACAAAAGTTGTTTGAAATTAATTTTTTACATTAGTGTATTCTTTACTATGGTCGGTATTGTCGTAGTCGTACAAAAGGTCTCGTTCTTAACTCTTTACGTAATTGGTATACATTTTGTGTATTTTCTCACTAGTTTGAATTTAGTTCGAAAGTTCTAGTTTCATCTTGTATTTTCTGCTATTTTTTCTGTTTCTCTGCAGGTCGATATATAGACTCATAACGGTACATTATTTGAAACGTCAAAGCAGATTCCAATGCGTAAGTGGGAAGTTATACAAAAATACATACAACTATGTAGGAAGTTTTCGAGGTTTTATAAAAATGTTATTGAAACTTTAGCTGAATAATAAATGTGTTTACCAAAATCATACGATTCGGTTATTACATCCTCATTGGTTTGGGGAATTCATAATTTTTTGAGGAGAGCATTTATTTTTGAAATATTTCTAATGATTGACTGAAGACATTGAAGATGTTACAATTCCAAATGTCATATAGTTTCTCTATCCGTAAGGGTTTCTACAAAAAGTAACGGTGAGGAGCGTTGGCATGGAACGTAACAGAGGGAGGCAGACAAATCATTACGTTTTCTATTCGATTTACAATACTTCTCTGTATAATGTGACATTTTTGCGGATAATGAGTGGTGCAATTGGAAACTTTTAGTTCTCAAAGCGATATCCTCAATATTTCCCTTGAATTTTCAATTCACCACACTCGGCCAACTAATAAAAGGTTTTATGCGCGTGTGCCTCTATATATGCCCATATCTGCTACTACATTTTTGAATGCAACACGGAGAGGAAATTCAGGTGCGATTACAAAAAAGCAATATTTTCACTATTATTTCTCAAAGCAATTACCAAGCATTGCAGAGCCATCAACACCAGTTATTTACGCAGTTTTGTTGTTACCAATAAAATGTCTATTTTCTATCTTCATGTCGTCCCCCTCATTGAGTATAGTTGTGCGTATGTGTGTGCTTGCTGCATGTGACTATCCCTATCCTACAACTGCATATTTTGCAATAGTTGCTGCAAAAGTAGGTCACTCCTGTTTGCCTTTTGTCACCCGGGCCAACGAATGCCAAGGCTTAAGCACTAAAGAGGGGTGCCGTAGTTGGAAGAAAGCGACCAGAAGTAAACGAGCGTGAAATCCCGGTAAATAAATAAAAACCGTTAAACGCGCGCTTGCAAAATACTCATGCAGCACGTGGCATGTGCATCCAATGCCTCAAACGAAAGGGGCTGACACATCTTCCACACAAATATGTACTTTGAAGCGTACACATACAGACAGGTAAGTATGTCGCATAGCTGTGTGCATCGGTTGAATAAATATTTATCGATTTCTATGCAGCGATGTTTTAATTAATGCAGCATCACACCAACTAGCACAGAAGCGCAACCGGCGATAGCTCCTCGCCTGTCAAAGCAAGTGTTGGTATCAAAAATGAAATTAAAATCCAAACTCGATAGGAAATTAAGTTCTAGTCTCTTGGCATGTGTTTATTGATTCTGAGAGACTTAATCAAGACTATAAATGGTGA